GTGCTCGCGTGCGACATGACTAAGGAGATTGATTTTTACTTCGCGGACTCGTTCAAGGCTTCGGATTCACTCAGTGCGATCCACCCCGAGTCCCGATTGCCTTCCCCGGCCCGATCTACTCGCAGCAGCAGATCTCCTTCCGCGCCAGGCGTGACCTCGAGCCTGGCACCCGCGTGCAATTTCTCGCGATTGGGAAGCTTCGTGGTCTGATTTCCACAGCGACGCAGCAGGTTGGTAAAGATATGGGGCCCAATGATCTGGGAGGGCGCGCGTGCGTCCTCCGCGCCCCGGGGGGCCCCGCGCGGCTTCGCCGTTTAGAGCTGGTCACAAACGAGACGGATCAGCCGCGAGTCGCCGCCGCTTTTTCCTTGCGCAGTTTGCAGGATGTCATGCCTTTGCGTCTCTTCCGCCCCCGCGCGTTCAGGGGGGCATCGATCGCCTGAGCGCCTTGCAGCCTGTTTAGGGGGAAGGTGGCAGGCCTTTGGCTATGGGCGCAGCGCCCCGTGCAGATTTGCTTTTCGCCTTGTTGCGAGCCTCGGCGTCTCTCAGAGGCGTCCGCCCATTGAGTTGTGTGGCTCGATTCCCGTGGCCGATTGGCTCGAAGATGTGCCTCCCCCCCGTCGCGCGCCCTCTCTGCCGGTGCCCCGCTCGACGGTGGCCCTGGGGGCCCGTGCCCGCTGCCTCTGCTATCTGATCCGATCTGGGCCCGTCCGTTTTTCCCTTCTTCCCAGATGGAGATCGGCTCTTGGAATGCGTCTGCCCTCTTTGCCGCTGTTCGGAGTCGAAGTGCGAAACCAGCCCTTCGCGGCGCTCGTTTTCCGAAGATCGCGAAGCCGCTCGCGGCATTCTGCGCCCGGGGAACCCGCGGACATATTGCGGATATGAATGGGCTTCGGCGAGGGGCTCGTCGTTTGGAGATCGGCCACTCTCCGTGCCCTACGCTTGCCAGCGTTAGTGGGTTCATTGCATGTTTTTCAGATTGGTTTCGCTGAGCTCTTCGCCCCCATCTCGCCCCCCGCTGCCATCGACGGCCGCGTCCTCGAGCCCTACCTCTCGGGGGCCAACGGGGGCCTCTGCGCGCTCGACGCGCGCGTGCCTAGCGCGAACGGCCTCGCGATTGCATGTGCGAGTGCCGCCCTCCGTGGCCTCCTTCGTGCCCTTCCCTTGTTCCGCGAGCGTTTCGCGGCGATGATCGGCGACTGGAAGTTTGCTGTCTTATCTGAGGGCGGCTCCGTGCAGATGGCAGTGGTTTCCCTGGGCCCTGTGGCTCGCGGTTTGAATGAGGGAAATGAGGGATGGGAGGGTGGGGGGAGGGAAATGAGGCATGGGACTGTCGCGCGCGCTGCATGGCAGGATCGCGCCTGCGGTACTTTTGCTCCTGCCATTGTCACCGACCTCGCCATTGCGCGCGAAGTCACCGGCCACGTGAAGGCCGACGTGGTCTCGGACAACGTGCCGGCCGCGTCGCATTATGCCCCTCAAAGCATCGCTCCTTGGATTTCTCGGCACCGACTTTGTGCCGAGATTTTGGGTGGAGTTATTCAGATGGTCCGCGATGGCGTTCTGCGGGGCCGCCCTGCTGAGGCCAAGTCTCTGACGTTTCAGGTCGTCAATGAGGTTGAACGCGTTGTCAATATGACACAAGCTGATTCTGCGGGCCCCCAGCGTAATCGCGCCCTGCGAGCCTTCCGCGCGTGGCATGCTGGTGACTCTCTCAAGCTCGGCGTTGCCATCGGCGCGCGCCCATCTTTCGCTCTGCACTTTCCCGCTGGCCTCCAGGGTGCTCGCGTCGATTCCCTTCGTCTTCTCTTCCAGAGCCTCCGCGTCTCCTTGTTATCGGCTGAGGAGGGCGAGCGTAATCGGGCCCCTGCTGCGCGCCCTTCGGGCGGCGTCGACGACGCCCGGCGGAAGTTGGCGGCGCGGAGGGAGCTCTGGCCGAAGATGAAGAGGCGCGCCTGGCTCCCGGGGGCGCTCTCGGCATCTGGGAGGGCTTGCAGAGCGGGTTGGGGGGGGGGGGGGATGCCTGGGCGCTGCAGGGTCACGGGGTCGCCGTTTTTGCAGCGACTGAGGGCGGCGAGCCCCTGTGGCCCGAGCTGCTGTGCATCGCTCGGAAGTTGCCTGATGCGCCTTGCGAGGCCGACGAGAACTATCTCATGGACAACAAGTCGATGATTGGGGAGGATGAACTGATGCACATGATCGTGGAGGAGGAAGGGCAGCGTGCCAGGGGGGGCGGTTTTCCGCGTTCGGCCTGGGGGGTCCCCGGCGTCGGCCTGCCTCTTGTTGAATGCTACCTCGCCGCGTCTTGTGTCGGGGCGCTCGCGTTCGCGCCCCCTTCGACGCGAAGCGTGGCTCTATGGTTTTTCTCGCGAAGAAAATCCGCGAGCATGAAGTTGGCGAAAGGGTCATCGAGGGCCAGCGGTTGCCGGACCCTTCGGCGCGACCAACGCAGGCGCGAAGTTGTTTGCTTAGCCCGTCTCAGAAATGCTTCCGGGGTCGCGACGTGCTCGTCGGCGTGATGCATGCGGAACGCTTCTTTGCCATTCCCGTGTTCGACTCACTGGTGGTCTATTCCCTGCGGACGTCGAATCCGCCCCCCCCTTCCGTCGAGGTCTCCTTGGTCATCAATGCGTGCCTCTATCGGTGCCCCTCCCGCCATCCACCCCTTCTTCCGGAGCGTCTACCTGAATGGCGCTGCCCTCGTCTATATTTTGGCAGTGCTTTTCATTCTTCCCCCGTCGGCAGCGGCGCGCGGCAAGGGGGCCCCGCGTCCATGCTTTGCTTTGTTTTGGCAGTTGAACGCATGGCTTTAGGCGCGCCCCCCGACGCGCGTCGCACGTTGGCATGCGCTGGCGGCTTCTGCCTGGGCTTGAGATGCCTTCTTGATCGTCTCGAGCCCCTGACTGATTGTTCCTCGAGCCCCTGACTGATTCTGCCCGGGCCTGAGATGCCTTCTTGATGTTCAATCGGGCTATGGGGATGATTGATGACTGATTGTTCCTGTTTACGATCGTCTGCGTGAACCTCTTCAGGAGCTTCTGGATGACCTTGGGGCCCCTTGCCATCTCGTCGAAATCGCCGCCCGTCTCAAACATCATGGGATGTGGATTGGGTCTGAGGCTGAAGAAGTTGCTCTCTGAGAAAACATTGTCAAGTCCGGGAAGCGCGCACCTGAAATTCGTGACCGTGGGCATGGGTTGGCCCAGCCCGCTGCCCCGATCAAAACATTAGGTGTATCGCCCGTGTTTTTTTTGAGGTCCAGCTGCACGCGCTCTCTCGTGAATTTGACAAAGTTTACCAATCGTGTGCGCGGCTCTTATCTGCCAGTCCTAACAATGCCCTCGCCTACGACGCGTGTACTAACCTCGCTATGTCTGGTTTTCCAAGTGAATTCCCCTGGCTCTCCATCATTGCAGATGCTACCCGAGCCCGTTATGTTGCTCGTTGCGGCGAATTTCCACGCGTCCGCTCGGTGCTTTCAGGTGTCTTGGCCGGTGATTACTGGTGCCCGCATCGTCAACTCACTGGCAGGTGCACCGCCAGCTTCCCCGCGCGCCTCAAGAGATCCCCGCAAAAGCAAACACCGCTTCGCTCCCATGGTGGATTTAGTTTTTGATACTATCCGCTTTTTGAGTCTTCGCAGCGTTCAAGACGGCCCGGTGGGCGCCCAAGAGGGCCCCAATATTGCCGCAGAGAGCCCCGAGACTGCCCACCAGAAACCCAAGATGACCCCAAACAACTTCCAAGAGAGACCCACGACCCCCAAAAACGTCCAAGAGAGACCCACGAAGCCATTGGAGTGCCCCAAGAGGGCCCCACATGGCTTCAGAAGACCCTTGGAGCCCCGGCTCCCTCGGCTCCCTAAGACGGCCCAAGAGCCCCAAAAACGCCCACACGGCGTTTTCCTACGAAGTACGCCGAGCTGACCCGACGATCTCGTTTCCAGCTTGAGGCTCAAGGCTTACATTCTTCGAACGAGTGAGACAGGCAATGGATCTAGATTCGAAGGTCGCCGATCGAAGGTTCCCTGAGTGCCAGGCATTCACGAAGCGTCCAGAAATCGATTTGTTCGGAACTACTGCGGTTTCTTCGGCTTGTCATGGGAACCCCCCTTACTTCCTCAAAGGATGGGCTCAACCACTGGAGGAGGAGGATGAGGAGGGAAGGATGAGGAAAAAATGGGTCGGGATAAACTTTGGAGGTGGCATATGAAAGACCAGGCAACAAATTCCTGTTTACCCCTTCCCATGAGGAACGGTGCTGAAGCAAAGGATGTTTTGTTGCTTTGTCGGGGAAGCGTCCAGAACAACCCGCATGGCGCCAAACGCCGATCAAGCTCTGTGTGTATATGTATATGTCGGTTTGTGTAATATACGCGTATATATACACATATGTATATCTATATACATATATTTATATAGATATATATATAGATATGTAGTGGTGGCGCATATGGATGTAATCCACATGTACGTGTACTTCGTTTCTGGAGTTTTCGTTGCCCGGTGGAAACTGCATGATGTAAGATGTCTGTGCGCGTGTCGGAATACGTGTGGCTAAGCACGGGTGGATCTAACTTCGAGTCGGGCCGGGTATGGGTGGGGCGGAGCACGAAGGCGTTTGAATTATGAGGTGGGGTGTGGATTGATGTGAGTGTGAGAGGTTTAATTCAACAAAATCTGGATCCGAACCATCAATGAATATGAGTAGGGTCGGGCGATATTGGTCGGTCAGCGAGCGAGTGAATCTTGGGTATGGGCGAGTTTGAGTGTCTGCGAGTCGGAGCGAGGGTGATTCTGAACGTGAGCCAGTCTGAGTGATGCGCGAGCCGGAATGTGAATGAGTCCGAGCGTGAGCGATGAAGGAAGTGAGGCAGCGGTTGAGGGGGTCAAGCATTGAAGACGCGCCCGTAGCCGCCGTAGGCCCGTCACCGTGGGGCGGCGGCAGTGTGACGTTGGGTGGCACACCGGGTCGCGCCCCGATCCGGTGTACCCCCCTCCGAGGAGTAGCGCCGTCAAGCAGGAGGACCTAGAGAGGGACCACGGGGACATGTGGCAGGCGGTGGACTCCATCTTTAGCGGACAGAAGGCCGAGAGCCCAGAGGTCATCATGCGGGCGCGGTTCACCGCGCTCAAGTTCAAGGACCCGAATTTCCTCGCGGCCACCGAGCTCGACGAAGACAAGAGAGAGCTCAAGGCTTCCTCTTCCTCTTCCCTCCTTTTTTGCTCCTCATCATCCTCTCCCTGTCCCGGCCCCTTCCTCTCCCCCTCGTTTTCTAATCTTCGTCTTTGTCATATCCCTCATCCTCTTCCTCTATCCTGTCAGCTCTCCTGTTTTCGGATCTTTCCTCTTCGCGTCCCCGTCCTCATCATCATCCTCAACCTCATCATCATTACCATCATCACCAGCATCCCCTATGATCATCATCGTCAGCACCATCACCATCATCATCACCACCAGCACTATTAGCATCACCACCAACCTCATCACTCTTCAAAATCAAAAGTATCATCACATGTTTCATCCGCACCATCAGCTTCATCTCCAGCCTCAACGCCAACATCAGGATCAGTACTATCAGCCTCCTGCTCCTCTGTATCCTCCTCATTATCATTATTCACATGATCGTCGTCATCATCAGTAGCATCAACATCATCATCACCACCACCATGATTACCATCATCATCACCATCATCATCACCACCGCCAGCATCATCGCCATCGCCACCATCGCAATCACCATGGCCATCGCCATCCCCATCACCACCATCATCATAGTCATCAGCATCATCCTCATAATCATCAGTACGATCAGTCTCATCCATGTTATCAGCGTGGTCACCACCACCATCCTCATCATCATTATCATCTCCGTCATCATCATCACCATCATCACCATCATCACCATCATCATTATCATCATCACCATCATCAGCATTATCATCAGATCACCATCATCATCACCATGATCATCATCACCATCAACAGCATCATCACCATCATCATCACCATCATCAGCATCATCACCATCATCATCATCATCGTCATCATCAGCATTATCATTCTTATTCTCATTTTTAGAATCCTCATCCACATCCTCACCCTGATCCTGATCCTCAACCGCATCCTCATCCTCATCCTCGTCCTCGTACTCGTCATCGTCGTCATCGTCGTCGTCGTCGCCGTCCTCTTCGTCGGCATCCTCATCTTCCCTCCCAGACCTCGATCTCTCCCCTCTCCTGGCTCCGCCCCCCTCCCGCCCGCTTCTCCCTCCACCCCTCCCCTCCCCCTCCACCCCTCGCTCCAAGTCGACCCCCCGATCTCTCCTGGAGCGCGCTCCGACCAGCCTGCCGCGGTGGACCCAGCCGGGGCGCTCCGAAGGCAGGCCCCCCCAGCATGCCCAGAACATCATCCTCCACCATCCCTTCTCCAAATCCCTCTTCCTCGTCCTCGTCGTCCTCCTCGTCGCCCGTCTCCTCCTCGTCCCCTCCTCCTCCTCCTCCTTCTCCTCCTGCTGCCCCTCCTGCCCCGACTTCCCCTGAGGCCTCGGGCGGAGCCGGGTCTCCGGAGATTCACCCCGGAGGCCTCCAGCGATTCTTCCGGGGGCCGCCACGGGGTCCGGGAGGCGTCTGAAGACCCAGGACTTGCCAGCCTCGAACGTATCCCTATCCCTAAGATTGACACGCCAAAAGGCGATGGCAATCTTGGGGATTCGCCCTCAAAAAATAGGGTGATCCCTAAGATTGGCATCGTGATGAGGAGGTGCCCAGCAGAGGGATAGGGATATGTTCCAGGCTGGTAAAGGACGGGCCGGAGCCGTTCAGTTGTTTCGGGCTTCGGTGCTCTGCTCCCCCTCCCGTACCTCCGAAGGAGCGTGCCGACCAGTGGGCGGTCACCCTCGGGCTGAAGGACAAGAGCCCCTTCGACTTCATCGTCCGGCTGGGCGATGAGGGCAGCCCGAACCGTCACAGTCAACCCGCACAGTAATGATGAGCGACTTGCCCAAGGTTGCCTTTGCGTCCTTCCCCTTTGTGCCTATCCTTGGCCGCTCTCGCTGGCCGCGCCCCGATCACCAAGTGTTGACATACTTTAAACGGAGAAGGTTAAAGGCGAGGTATAAATCGAGCATGTACCGCTGCCGTGCCTGGCTCAAGCCGGGCCCGGCATGATATGTGACTGTGCCTCACCGAGGCGCACTACTTGCATCTGAGATCGGAAAACATCCTTTCCATTGACGATGCCCATCTTACTCTTTACTCCAGATCCCATGCTTCGTCTCGCTCTCTTGCTCATGCGATATGAGCCAAAGCCTGGGATATGGGAGCGCCTAAGGCGGACTACATACCTAAGCTTACCAGCCTGTTTTCGACTTGGTAGCGGAGCTGGCTACACTCTCGTGTGGCTGGCTCTCGCTCTGATTCCTGTAATCCACGGCACAACTTGGTGGACTACTACTACGGTGGAATACCATGTTGCGCCGGCTCTGCGAGGAGCGGAGCCAGTCCGCGATCGAGCTAGCGGGGCAACCCGCGAACTCGAGACGCTCTCTCCTACTTCACTGCGCTACTTCACTCCCGACTTCCACCAGATGCCAATCGGCAACTCGATCGAGAACGTGGTCACCCTGCGGGGCTACCCGCAGCGGGGCCACCTGCATCCCGTGCCAGTCAGGCGCCTCACGGCTACTACGCCAGAGCCTGACAAACCACAGCCTAAACCAATCACCGAAGCCGAAATGCACATGCATTGGATCAAGATAACTATATTCGGCATTCTGTGGGTAATAATGGGATGTGCTGTGGGATACATGCGGCAGGGGATGGACGACACGCGTACTACTGGCCCTTCATGGGACCCTGCCGGTACTACGCCTTTTCGCGAATACGTTCGCGAAGTACATGCATGGTTAAACGTAACGAGTGGCAATATGACACCACCACAACAAGCTGCAGCACTACAACGAGGCCTTCAAGGTCTGGCTCGTCGTATCGCCATGCAGGTCCCCTCCCAGATCATCAATTATGGTGTAACTGTCAATGGACAGCCAACGGATGCAGTAACCTACATACTGTACTTACTGAGCACCAAATTTGAAAATCTGGAAGATGAGCGCCAGCTCAACTCTGGCACTGCCCTTATCGACTTCCGCGTTGAAAGGGGCGAGCGAATCGACTCAGTATTAGCTCGATTCGAGATGGCCCGTGACGAGGCCAACTCTGTTGGCTTTGTCATCCCCAACTTTCAGATCCTAACGCTGATTCTTTTCAGAGCGTTAGGCGTTGGCGCGTCACGAGCCCAACACCTGCTCGAGCCCTTCAATCATCAGATGCCCCGAACACAAGCAGACTATGACAGGCTGTTGACCAGGATGAGGAACTACGGACATGTTGCCGAGCGCTCTCCTGGTAACATAGCGGGTATCTTCGCAGGGCACCACTCACATGCAGGTGTTTACGCCACGACTGCGGGGTCACCCGCTGGTCCTGGCGAGCCAAATCCCTGGGCTGACCCAGCCGATATGCCCAACGAGGCCACTGCCCTTCTAGGGCAGACCGGCCAGGTATCGGCAGAGGCAGCTGAGGCGAACGCCTGGTCGAACTACTCGCCAGGCGCCGCCTACACTGCAAGCCCGCCCTCGGGCACAACCCTCTGGGGCCAAGCGGAGTCATCCGCTCAATGGTCTCAGCCACCCTCACCGTTTGAATCTGGCACTGACACAGATACCTCATCTGACGATGAGCACAATGGAATAGTCTCTGCTGGTAATGACTATCCAGCGGATGACACTCACCTTTCTGAACAGCAAAGGGCGGAAGCCGCCTTTATGGCTTATCGCAAATCAAAACGCCGTTGGAGGCGCTTTATGAAGAAACCAGTCAGAAAGGTGAGACGTGCAGTACGCCGACATTTCAAACAATTTGGAAAGGGTCGTGGTAAAGGGGGTCGCAGACGCCGTATGCATGGTAGGGGTATTACTGCTTTCCTCACGTCCTTAACTGATATGGCTTTTGAAGAAGTTCTTATCGGAGGCAAAGGTCGGGGTCACAGGCGGACCTCCGGTAAGGGAAAGGGGCGGAGGGGCAACCCTAGGGACGCTTCTGGTAATACTATGAAGTGTCATACATGCGGTAGCACAGAGCATTTGCGCGATCAATGCCCGAAGGGGAAAGGAAAGGGATCCGTACACTTGGCTCAAAATTCTTTTATGGATGACATAGATTACATTGACTACGAGTTTTACGTCAATCCAGAAGCGGCTCCCGCTGCGGGCTCCTCCACGTATTACGTGATGGCCCGCTATGCTGAAGCAACTGTGGCCCTGGAAGACTACGCAGTGACCCTCTTCGACGAGTTCCACGGCTGGGACGAGGTCGATGAGATTGCGTACAATGCTTGGTTCGGTCTTCCAGCGGGGCCACCCGCCGGTGACGAGGTCTCCGAAGCCGAGACTGTCCCGGCAACAGAGGAAGAACTCACCGCCGCGCTGGCCCCACAAGTGATTGGCATGCCGTTGCTGCCAAATCCGTCGTGGGCTGGTTCGGAGATGGGAGACGCCGATGACGAAATGCGGGGCCATCCCGCGTATTCCGACTCCGAAGAATCCGAAGAAGATTATAACGACATGCTCCAAGAGCAGGTTTCAGAAGCAATCCGACTCTTGAGTGCGCCAGCACAGCAGCAGATGACGATGAACGAACTGCTGTCGCACCCAGGAGTTGCCCGTCTACGTCCATACTTGGATTCGAACATGTCAGCATCTCAGATGCTTACAGCACTCCAAGCTCTAGCGGGGTCACCCGCCGAAGAGATGCTAGACGCAACAGCGGGGCCACTCGCTTGGTCTATGGATGTATTCATGCAAGGTTGCGATCAAATGAACATTAACGACCTCTCGATGGAGCAGTTAAATGACATCGGATACTTCAGAAGCCCGTATCAAAACGTGTTCATGGTCCAGGACAGCTCAGAGGACTCGGAGGACATGCGGTACGCCAAGAGGGACAGGCGACCGTCGCCTCCCCGAGACTCAGAGCATGACGATCAAAGGCCAGTGACACGTGGTAGTGCGTCAGCGGGGCCAGCCCGCGGAAGGAGCCGCTCAGCTCCTAGACGCCCTACGCATGATGAATCGGGCTATCCATACAGCACTGAGCACTCCTGGAGTATCTGCTCAGCAGGTGCCGGATTGGTACATCAGATGGTACCCCGGCTACTCTATGGATACTCTTCGGCACTGGTATTCTAAGGAATACTGTGCCAAAAGGGACGAGACTGGCGCGATAATCCGTACCAAGGGCGGCAAGACCAAGACGCCAGAGGCCTGGGACAAAAGGGCGAAGAAGCAGGAGATCATCACTGACCGCAAAACGTACAGAAAGCAAGTATGTCAGTGTGAGCCCTTTAAAGGCCACATGCGCAGGTGTCCGATGGACCGCCCCTCCAGGAGCCCTCACCATGGAGAGACCCCGTGGAATTGGTCTCATGGAGACGACGCGGGTAACGTCCATGATCCGAACAAAGAGGTTCCTGGAGGAGGAAAGCGTATCACAGAGGCCGATCGCGTCCCTATGACCGAAGAGGTGGCCAACACCGTCAAGGAAAATTGGGCAAAGCTTCCCAATGACCACCGCCTCAAGGAATGGAACCGCCGATTCCATAAGGAAGCGGGGTCACCCGCAGAATCCAGTAAGGAAGCGGGGTCACCTGCAGAATCCAGCAAGGAAGCGGGGTCACCCGCAGAAGCAGCACCAGCCGCTGGATCTGCGGACGAGTGGATAGACGTTGTCTCTGCTGCCGGGTCCGCCGCCGGCACTGACCGCACCGAGCTAAATGAAGAGTGGGCGGCGGAAGACGGCTCAGAGAATCCATTCCCTGACGGAAGCGCCTGCTGGTACTGCAGTTCTTCGGCGCAGAAGTGGTTTTGCACGAGGGTAATCTACCGCCATGAGAATGGCAAGTACAAGCTGGCCATAAAAGGTACTGCCGACATCGACCAGATGAGGCAGGTCATCCATGGTCATGGCCAGCCAGAAGGCCCTCCTAGAGACCCTCCTGGTCCACAACCGGGCAGGGGCAGCAGACCACCTCCAAGACCTGAAGCCGACTCCTCGTCTTCACCGACTCCGGCAAAAAGGCACCCGTCCAAGAGCCCCGAAGGCACACAGGGGCGGGCGAAGGCCAGAGGGATCGCCAAGACGGACGACCCTGAGCCGGTGAATCCTCCCGGTCTGTCCGTGACGGAGAGGAGGAAGGCTTTTGCTGGACCATCGACCCCGATGCCGCCGGCGACCCAAGGCGATGTCAAGGACGAAGCTCGCGACAAGCCTAAGGCAGCGTTCCGAGGTGACTGGACTCCAACACTGCATCAGCCACGCCTTGCACCACGACCAGGTTCGGCACGAATGAAAGCGCAGCCGAAGCCCGAAGCTGGGATGAGGTCGGTGCGGGCAGAAGCGGCCGCCAAGGCTAAGGAGGACAAGGGCTCTGCGGGGCCACCCGCTAAAGCGGCGCCAGCCGTAACAGCGGGGACACCCGCAGAAGGCACTCTCTCCAGAGAAGAACGCTTCAGAGTCCTCAAAGAGTTTGGCGACCAACAGAAACTGACTGATGATGCAGCTGCTGACAAAGGTCGCCAGAACCCTGGCGCGGAGTCATCTGCAGGAGCTGCCTCGTCAGCCGCAGGTTCTGCAGGGCCACCCGTTAAAGCGGCGCCAGCTGCATTAGCGGGGTCGCCCGCCAAAGCGCCGCCGGCTGCACTAGCGGGGTCACCCGCAAGCTGGCAGCCAATAATGTCTGTTCTGAGGGTCATTCCTTTGGAATGCAAGTTGTATTGGCAAGGCATTGTAGACAAAGGCCCGAGGCAGCCCATCAACCCACGAGTCACTCCAGACGACACGGACCGATATGAAGTCATTAATTGTCCGGTTCGTCGTAATTTCAAGT